CATTACCGGTTACTCGCATTTCAATTTGCTTGGTATCATTTTCATTTCTTTTATCAATTCAATAGTTGTTACTAACTAATACTAAGTGAAGAAGCAAAATATGAAATGGCAAAGACAAAATCAATTTCAATCAGCTGCAGTATCAAAAACTTGATCTTTTGGTTATACTCGCATTACATACCCAAACCAATGCAACAAAATTGCATCATAACCAACCATTTGAAATTTGAATACTGAAAGGCTGATTTTTTCCAGCCAAAGAACACCTTTAGTAATCTTGTTTTTTTCACAGAAAATGATGAAGGATTGGCGAAAAAAAAATTATATCCTGATCCTTACATGTGTTAGTAATAACTTAAAAGTAAAAAAAAAAAGCTCAGAAATGAATTTCATTTTTTGGGGTCATGTCTCTGTTTGCTTGCAATCGCCCAGAGGTAAAATAGGTTGCTATTTAAAAAAAAAAAATAGCATGCTATTTAAAAAAAACCTACAAAATGGCGTCTGTCCAAACAACTGTTCTTAACTTAATACGTGGACACTACAATAATACATGTGTAGTGTAGTACACATGTCCATGTGGGCAATAAGCATCTTTACAGTCCTCAAACATACATGAAGTGAGCAAACAATACGACTACATAAGAATGGAATACATGTAATTGAAAATAAGTCTATTACCATGGACAGTAATAATGCTGTGACAACACAGTCCATCGAGTTATTAAAACAGTTTAGTTCAACATGCTATGGCTGTGCATGCTTTTTTCAGCAAAATACAGCTTGATAAGGTATAAGAATGTTACTCATAATTGTTCTGGAAAATCCACTAACCATGTGGTGCACTGATCACTCCATTACAGTGATTTGGATGCACTTGCCCCCGTTGAACACATCTCTAAGCTGTGCTTAATTCACAAAGGGCTCTCAAAATGCAACTGACAAAATTCAAATTTGCCACACACACAGGATGTTTATCTGGTATGCAAATTAAGTGCATGGCCTCCAGATTGTGTTGTACTGAGCATATGTCCACAAAATAGGAAATAAATAGTCCATGGTTCTAATAAACATGTGTAAGTGTCCAGAAAATAGACAAAAAATAGCCTGTGGATCCCACAAAAATGTCTCCAAAAATAGTCATAAAATAGCTTGCAGTTTTAAAAATAGAAATAAAATAGAGTGGCAACAAGAAAATAGGGATAAAATAGTGCATCAGCATGTACATATTTTGATGTAATAGAAATAAAATTTTAAAAATCCTATTTTCTAGGAGAAAATACCTTAAAAATGTATTTTAAATAGGAAAAACATAGGATTTTGCCAGAGATTTTCTATGAGGGGTGCCAATCATAGAGGGGTCATTCCATGAAGTTGAGGAACAGGCCACAATTTTCTGAGGTCTGATCAGTTTTTTCTTTGTTATGGAACATTATTTCTAAACAAATGTCATTTGACAATAAGGCTTTAAGATAAGCTTTTAAATGATACCACGCTCGATGATGCTCAAATATAACTTTCATACCCAAATTCTGTTAAAGATATAGTCCATCATTTGTAATTTGTGCATTTTATTCGGTTGAAGCAACAAAAGTGTTCAAAATCTAATGAAGGATACTGAACAACTAACCTGATGAAGTTTCAGCTAAGCTTCAGCTGTATATTCCGAGAAAAAAGCATTCTAGGATCTCAATTTCAAATCAAAAGTTACTGAATCATGTTTTGAATTGTTTTGAATTGCAGCTATATGCGACATCGCGCACTGATCCGACGAATTATAGCAACCGCGCGCGCGTGTGCGTCGTGCCAATGCTTGCACGCGCTTCGCCGAATAACAAAACGAACTACAATGTACTAATGTAAATTTTCCAATGGTACGTCTTAAGACGCACCATTGGAAAGGCCTTCTTTCGTTGATTACTTCAAAATGACAGCTTCCCAGAAAGAATAATTTCACAGGGATTTTAGTTCCCTTACTATCTTTCAACCAGTTTGTTTTTCAACAATAATTACGTAAGTTACTTTTCGGATGGCTGCAAATGATGGACTATAGCTTTAATGTTATGGCGTTCGGCAAAAAAAATGAGGAAAAAGTGTGACAAAGAATTAACCTACAGTTCAAAAATAACTCATTTTGAAAAGAAAACAAGTGGACTGGAATTGAGGTTTTAAACAAATTATAGCGAGAAGATGTACCCTTTCTATTGAAAAAGTAAACATCAGATGTTAAAATGTTTTGCCAGAATGGCATGCACAATTTAAAATTGGGTTGTGGATGTAACATATGGTGTCCCGTGTTTCATATTATGTTACATCCACAACCGGCTTGTGCAAAATTTTCTTTTTGCAGCAATTTCGGTCGGATTGACCCCAATATTTCATGATTGAACTGGTATTTGTGAAATAATGTGATCGTAGTCTATGCAAATAGATGTTTTGGCCAAATATGAAAAAAATCTTATGCCTGTGGGCACATGGTGTCCGTGTTAGGCATGCCTAAAATAAGTATGTAATCATGACCTGCAATCTGCAAATTGCCCTTGAAACAGAGATTTGGGGACAACATTTCTAAACACAAACAACATTTAGTTCCATTCATATTGAGGGAAAAAAATCAAGGATGATTTTTGTTTTATTGAACTACAGGAGACAGTATACATTTGATGCACAAATTACCACAACTCATGGTCAATGTTGGTCGATGGCCCCCACATGGGAGGTCCCCCACATCCTGTTTCCAAGTACTCTCCCTCATGAGTCATGGAAACAGATGGTTTTTCATAGCAACCAGTTCATTGAAATAATAAGTATTGTCTCTATGTGTCATGAAATGGGTTTTTAGTGTGAAGGCAAGTGCAATCAGCTTCATTCTGATTCAAGCCGCAGCAGCACTGACTTCAACACAAAGAGCCCATCACCCCTACCATCCCTCAGATCCTTGTTAGATTTGTCATCCCCTTTGATGCTGCATTTTGGGCAGCATGCTTAGTAGCCTTTTTGGATTGTTGCGCAAATCCAACTTCCTCACCCCTTCTGCTGGGTCTTTTGATGTTGAAAGGCACCTTACCCGATCAGATTTTGTTCTGTTCAATATCATGGTCCAAAACCATCCAGTTCAAACAATGCCAATTGTCTGTCCCCTTGCCCTTCTTACACGAGCATCCTCTCTGCCCAGTCACTGCCCTCATTGGATATTTTGTATTATGACCAGATGTATACCCTGCAATAGCCCTGCCTTTTATGATACCACTAAGTTCAGGTTACAAGCCTCTGCCTCCCTCCCAGTTCCAAGCAACTCTTACCAAGCTGCTGACTAAATTACAGCTCCCTCCATCACAGTTTGGCACTCACAGTTTTCGCAGAGAAGGGGCGACTTGGGCTTTGCAAATCTGAGGCATTCCAAGCATATATTACCCTCTCCCCTGAGCAAAGGTTACAATTGACACAGCCGTTTT